TTCCTAATGTTTCTGTCGAGCAAGACACATACCAATATGCCCTAACCCTGCTCAACATTGCACAGATTGATGTGGAAATTGGGGCAGCAAAGGATGCCATACTTGGGAATATTAATACAGCCCACTCACTATTCAACATGGTCAACATGGCAAGCGGAAAGCTCTACTGTGATACTACTCGCGCGTCTCTGGACGCAAGAGAAGGAGAGCATTTATCTGCTCAGATTCTGTTCCACAGATGTCTTGCACTTGTATGGGGAAAGGATAGTGAAGGTGTAAGCTACTGTTTGGAGAGACTTGGGAATTGGCGCCTCTGGAATGCATTGTATCAGACTCCAACTTGGACAGTGTTGTTCTTGGTCCATAGCCTCAAGCTACAACGGAAGCTGGAAATATACAAGGCTTTGCAATTCCTGGGAGATGTGTGCCTAGCAGAGAGTGATCACAATACTGCAATCAGTCTCTTCACTGTTGCCCTCGATGGGTTCACACAAATGGATGTCCAGCGCAGTAGAGCAGAGTGTATGTTCTGCCTTGGAGACATTGCAAAATTCCACGGTGATGTTGTGGAAGCAGCCAAACTTTGGAAAAGATCACGACCATTATTTGAATCCTCCTTGCAGAAACAAGGCACTGTACTGATTGATGAGAGGCTTACCGAAGTCCGCGACGATGATGGACCCTCACACACTTTGATTTACTTGGCCAACATACATGCCCCGACCTCAGAGCCACAAGCCAAGGAAGTCGGACTGCTAGGTACAAAGATTGGAGGGGAGAAAATGGAGGATAGCTCTGGTTGTGTTTTGATTTCAGTTTGATTGTGTGTAAATGTAGGTTTATCGAACTGTAAGGATTCATTTTATTCTTTACCATTTTTACGACTTTTACGACTCATCGTATTCTTTTTACGACCTCTTACGACTCATCGTATTTCCTTACTTGTTCAATCTTCATGACGGCCGTAGTTTAGTCATAGATATTTGTTGTTGGTAGTCACCTGATGCTTATCTACACTTTACCAACAACCAACTGCCTAACTGCCCTTCTCTGAAATCTCGTTGAAGCTCTCCGAGTTCAGCGCCCTTCTTCGAGACTCTCCGAAGAGCTAGTGACTCATTGAGCCTCTCCGAGCACGGACAAAGGCCTATAGTGAGTTTCAAGGCTCTTTATTATTATTATTATTTTGGTGGTACATCATCGACCAAAAGACAATTAACAAGGTTAACCCGTAGTGGTCGTGTAAGCGTGTAGAAAAGTACCCTTCAAGAGAGAGGAGGGGGACAATTTGACTGACACGCACTTCATTTAATTACTCTCGCGTATTGGATCTAGCGACCGAGCTAGTACGGATATCCGACTTGCTTAGGGGTGCGACACTTTGCTGTACGGATATCTGACTCCGAGTCGAACCCCGTGGTCGCTTGGACCGTTCGTGCGAAGGGTCAATACCACATTGACCTTACTGCGGACCTGCCTAGCATTATCCTCTCCAAGTTCCAGTACGAGGCTATCTGGGTCTCACACAAATAGTTTCGAAACATGCACCATATTACTTCCCTCACATAACCATCTCTACCTTGCTGTATATAGTGAAACCCCAACATGAAGTAAGAAAAATTGACACTCTGATTTCAGAGAACGACATGATGCATGGGTGAAGTTCCTTAAGATTTGGTATGGCCCAAAATATATATATACACACCCCTGCACTGCCTGGACCTGAGAACATCAGCACGTCTGGAACCAAAAAATCACCTAATTAAAGCATTGTTCACACATCTCGGCCCTCACGATGACTTGGAGCTCCTAGGATTTCGACTCCTTCTCTCTGCAAGGTTGGGTCGCGACTTCATTTGTGATAGCTCAGAGGCTCGTACCACGATATATCTTCCAGCAGACAAATGGTATGCCCCCCAGCGTATTTGCCTCGGAGTCGCAGGCCCAAGCAGACAGCGGCGGTGTCGTGATTAACGAACGAAGAGATGGGAAATGTGAGCGCGGTGAGCGAGGCGTCCCCACAGATGTTACAAACAACTTGAAGTACATCGCGAGAATCAGTATAGGACATTTTGCCAGTGAAAATTGCGGAAGTGCACGTCGAAAGCTCTTCGGCCTTTCACGTCCGAGACTGATCCACTGCTGTGCGTGGGAACAAAACCCTAGTCGACAGACAAGATTCAAGAATCAATATGCAAAGGCCGACATGCCCTGCTTCCGAGCCAACCGCGCGAATCTGCAGAACACGCAGTGTTGGCGCGATGATATGAATCTCGCGCTCTGAAAACCCTCTATTTAGTTTGGCCTACTCGACGCCGGTTAAGCTGACGGGTCGCGGTCTTTCGCGCGATCTTGACAAGGCTTTAGTTAAATATACATGGAACCGGGTTAGGTCGCAGGCATCAGTGTGAAAGCCGCGCGGGGACCCGGGTACGGGCCGGGTTGATGACAGGCTCCAGTGCTGCATTTCTTCCGGGCTACACCAAGGCTTAAGAAATATTGACGGGAATTTTCATGCACATTTACCTTGGATTTAATGGTTCGTCTTGGCTGAGTTCCATGTAGACCTTCCATGAAAACATAGGCAGGAAATATAAGGAATGAATGCCAGCCCTAGAAGATTATACTCATACATGTGGTCCGCTACAGTTCGTAGGCCCCATGTAATATAACTATGTATTTTTAACTGCGCTGTCATTGTCGCAGCTAGTGATTTGTGAACGTCCGGCCAGGAGTCGGAAATTACGTTGTCGCGCCGCATAAATCCTGTATGATCTTCAACATTCACTTTCCCCTCTCCAAATGCCAACCACGGATCCCTAGATTAGCATGAACAAATCTCGGCGGTCCTCAAAGTTGAACGCTTAGACGTTGACCTGTTTCGCTCGAAATCCCTCTGGCTGCCGATCCTGGCGCAAGGCGCCTTTGGAGGGTAGGCGAGCCACCACGTCGGACTTCTTGATTTGATCGATGGCCGCAGACAGATTATCGGTCAAACCGTCATGGCCGCCACAGATTCGGTGAATCTCAATTTTCGGCTGCATGTAAGTGTCTCCTCAGCCGCGCATCACTGTGGAACCCGAAGTCCGTGAAATTCACCTTATTTTTCAAGCAGAAATTGAGGTAAATTCACCCCAAGATACAGCGAATTTCGTGGTCAAAAAACGAATTTCACGACCAAATAGCCCAAAAAGTTTCACGTACAATATGACGCTTTTCGCCCACCATTTCACGTACTTTGGCAGCGAAATTCACGGCTTTTGAGAGAGTGAAATTTCGGCAAAAGGTTATCTTCCTATTTCTTCCATTCCCTTACCCTCACATACATCCATCCCACTGACTTCAAGTCGTACAAGCATTGGGTGTAATTCATTCATTCATTACATTATTGCAAGAATGATAATAATACTAACTAGCTATCTAATGCTTTTAAAGTGTGTATTGTAATGGGTAAATAACTAGTACTGATGACCTGAATCATGTACCTTGCTCCGCGCACCGGGAAGAGTACGTGAAAATTTGGATTTACCCTGTTCCAGGGTGAAACTGAATTTTCACGTACTTTTGTTCTGGGATAGGCAATTTCATCATGTTTTCATACTATATTGTGAATTTCATTTTCATGCTCTTTCATAGTGAAAGGCGAATTTCACGAGGTCGTAGAGTGAATTTCGCGCAATCCGTTTTCCACAGTGCATCCTAACCATGTCCGATGATTATAACAGTCACTCCACGTGTGTTCTCTTAACTGAGTTCCAGGTTTGAAGCAAATATTTGACCGTTACCAGTGCTACTTCCTCTCGAGCGCATCGGCGTCGGTGCCGATCGTGTATTCGGTGAGGCGGCTCCGGGACGGGAATTCGTATATCACGCGCACCGTCCAGGCCACCCAGAGCGGGCGCACCATTTGCGTAATGATGTGCTCTTTCCACAGAACGGAACCATGGCAGCCGACGGGGGTTAAGTGGAACATGCCCCTCGTGCCACCGCCCGAGCAGCGCCAGCTGGAGGAAGACCGCTACAAGGCGCTTCTTAAACATAATGGTGTGCCACCGAAAGTCCAGCAGATATTCACCGCGACTTTATTGCCGTGTGTCGCGTCATCTGCAGCGAGAATTCACGATGAGGTTGATAAGTTACACAGGAACGCCATCGGAGTCCGATTGCCATTAAGGTCGCGGTGGAGGACGACTTGAGGAGTGGGAGAATGCCGCAGTTTATGTATTGGATGCAAGTGCGCAATATCCCTGCCTCCAAACCGTCATTCCAAAAGGTAGGCCCATATCTACTCTGGATGGATGTGAAGTTTCTGAAATACACACATTAGTGTATTCTGAGCTACCTCGGATTTCTATGTGTAAGTTTCACTTCCTCGCTCATTCAATGTGACACTTCCCGCGTGTCCCGATTCGGAGTTGCTGTCCGCGCTGGGATTCGAACGCTTCAGTAGCGGCCCCAACGGGGAGAGTATGACGGTGCGCGCGGCGACGGTGATAACAACTTCAATTATTTACGTTGTGTCAGTCCATGATCAATCACTCGATCTCTTTTCACAGATGCGTCAATCTACGCGTCAACTGAAACTATTTGACTATTTCCGCAGCGACACATTTAACTGTGGTAATTGGCCGTTATACGTGGTGCGCATGGAGTTCGTTCTTCAACCTAGCTGGATTGATCGCAACAGATAGCTTCGCCTTGTGCTGTATCTGGGCGCGCAATCGTGTGTGGCCGGGTATGTTATTCTCTTTCAGTGTCTTCGTGGTCTGCGTTAATTCTCGCCAGATGTATTCACAGAACGGCACGCTCGATATCGCGATGGTGACGCAAGAGGGGGTGGTTCGCGCAGACAGGCGGGGTCCGGAAATAAAGCTGTATTCATTGCCGTTATTAGAACGACCGCCGGGGGATCGGGTTATTATGGGAGGAGACAAAAGAGGCACAGTAAAGAGGCGGGGCGGAAGAGGCTGTAAGAAGCGAATCAGTTGAATAAAAATATTTGATTGGAGTGGGATTCGAACCCACGCCAAATTAATGACCAGAAATCTGATTACAAATCGAGAAACGGTGCTTCGCAACGAAGCTGAACCTGAATCTGGCGCCTTAGACCGCTCGGCCATCCAACCGATGAGAGTGGCTTCAATATACGTGGTGCTGGACTAAGTGCGACTGTCCTCGCAGAAGCGATGTTTATAATGTTTTACCGAGATCACGATTATCGCGGCATCTCGGATCAGGATGTTTGAGTCGATCATGATGCTCTTTGCTTGCCATTGCCTGCTGCTCCTGCAAACGCTGGATCCAGACAATCAAATTCAGGAGACCACCATCCGTTCCATTCCGAGCCCTTCACACCACACTTGTTCTGGTTCTACGACCGCAGCAAGGCAACCGCTTCAAGGCAAGAGTCATATCTATAGTCCGTTCCCTGGTTTTCTCATCTTCGTCGTTCCCGTTACAGATCTCATCGGTTGTCAGCACGACGAGTCGACCCCCCTATCATCCGATCGTAATATAAGAAATGGATCAAGCGCTGCTGAATTTCACACCCTGTTTTGTCGTCTTCGGTAGTCCCGTCTCTCTTCTACCCTTCATTATCTCACCCATACGTCCAGGTAGTGTCCTCTTGGATCCGACACCTCCCACCTTTCTTCGCGGTTTTTCTCTTTAATGACACCGCAAGCGGTCTAAGCTATGTGCGTACTTTTCATTTTCTCAGGCTCTAACACTGACATAGTTGCGCAGGTCCGATAATGGTTTACCTTTAATTTTAATTGCCTTAAGCGCCACCACATTGCTCGGACTTGGAATCCTCAGCGTCTATCTTCTACGGATGCGGCGGCGACGTTTCCTTGAACATAATATTCGTTGGAATTTTTCGACCTTCGATTTCACCTCTGGCAAATCCGGCGAACGAACATCTGTCCTTCCCCTTGCCGTCCGCCATGGTGTGTCGCCAACGGATATATTTCCCTTCCATCTCTAACAAACATGCGTTAGGCCCGTCCGGGACGGCCGCGCCCAGCGCTTCTTCACGCTTTTCATGGTTCGTCTCCGAAGACAAACTGCTATCCACACGCGACTACATGGATCCTGTGGACTTCCTCGAATCCGACCAAATTATCACCTCTCCGAAGCCCGCCTTGGTCAAGCCGTCCATCCGTTGGGGGCCAGTCCCACCCTTGCCACCTTAGTTTGACAGCCATTCGTTAGACGTGTATTTTAATCTCGGACAATCATACTTTCTCCCTGGACCCCAAACCCACCTATGTTCCAGTTCCAACTTCCACGCACCTATCATGACCCCGGTGCGCACTTAAATCCTCCTACCAGCGTTTCTTTCGGAAGAACGCGATCGAGATTTCCCGTTTTGTGTCTACTTGTGTGTTACTACGCCATTCCTTTGACAGCGTTCCTTAATTTGTAGCAACCGCGTGTCGCTCAGCTAACAACACCGCAATATTAATAGTCTAGGGACCTGGACAGCAGCTCTGCGCCAAATGAGCTCTGCTCTCACCTCAACCTCTGCCTTAACCTCAGGTCAGTTCGAGGACTCGCTATTGTTGTCTCTGGGCGTCTAAACTATGGCAGCGCCGTGAGCCGAGTGCGTCTAAACTGAAACGAACTGAGACGGATCACAGATTGGCGTTTGACGTTCCGCTTTTTTTGATCGCCACCCTTACTGTCCTCCACTGCGACGGGCTTATGCGCCTTCTCCTCCTCCCCCTCTCGGCACTCCTACTTGTTGACGCGCTTTTGAATGTCACCATCGACGACGTCAGCCCCATGATCAGCTACTCGGGGAAGTGGGAGCCGTCTGCGACCCATATGTCCGGGCTCGATTATGGAGGCAGCCACACGCTGAGCAGCGATTCAGAGGCCAGCGCGACGTTCATATTCACGGGTGTGTCCTTTGGTTATCATCGTGGCCCGTCTGACGCGTCTGTTGCACCAGGGGTGGCCGTGTACTACCTATCGCCTCGCTGGCCGTACGCAGTTAGCACGCGGCTAAGCTTGGATGGGGGAGCACCGATTCTGGTGAATTTGACTGACTCCAATTCATCGCCAACACTGCCGGGAGGCCCAGAGTCCGCGCTGTCCTCGGTGGCCTGGTCGGCTACAAGCTTGGCCAACAAATCACATACTCTTGTCGCGACGATTGGGAATTTCATCATTGTCGATGGCTTCATGTGCGTGCCTCTCACCGGGCGCCGCAGGATTCTGATATCCTTCCGTTTATCCAGCTACACGGTAGATAACGGGTCAACGCCGATCTCTTCCTCTTCCTCTGCAACCTCCTCGTCGACAACGTCCTCCCTATCTTCCTCAGCGACACTGTCTGCCTCCTCTGCTGGAGCGTCTACGATCCCCTCCAATCACAGCGGGTTAACCATCGGCCTCGCGACGGCCTTAGCGCTGAGCGTTGTCGTCGCTGCAGCGCTGTTCGCCTTCGCGTACTATCAGCGCCGCAGACATCGCAAGGTACGGTCCGTGCGCCCGCGGCCCATCCTCGACGACTGGAGCTCCGAGCAGCGTGGCCGAGGGGCCTACGCCGCGGTGACGGGCCACGCGCTCGACGTGTCCGACGCCTCGTCGAGCAACCTTTTGAACATGAGCGTCTACCCTGCCAGCGGGCTGTCAGATCCCTGGGAACCGGGGGACGTCCAGTACCAGGGCTTCACGGCGTCGTCCCAGGGCCAGGCGTCGGAGGGATCGTCTGTTTCCTCCCATGGGCGCGTGCGGTACGCTGCGGAGCTGCCGCCGGGCGCGATGCCCGCCGCAGTCCCCGGTCCATATATGGACCGCGCGCCCCCGGACGACGACGAGGGTCCGGCCCTCAATCGCGCGCCGTCGTCCCGGCCGCTCCTCTCGTCACATCACCTCGAGGATGGAGAAACAACCCCGGTCCTGGACGGCATACGAATATCCTCGCCGCCCCCGTATTCAGCGCGATCATAGGGGCCCCGCTGCGCCGTTATGTTAGGACGACAAAATCATTTGCCCAATCCGTGGTTCCTGACTGGCTTGTAACACACAATGACTTTGTATCATCCTGGCTACTGAACTCTAGTTCAAAGACATTATCTGCGATTGCTTGCGGCCACTTGACCGTGTTATCCACTTTAACCACGCTAGCGCTTCGAATCTCACGGGCAGACACTGACATATAATCGAACTGTGAGATACTTAATTTGTTCCATTGGACTGTGACGGCGGTTTGGCGGTGGTGCGCTCTCGTTGGACCTCGCTTATATTCCTTCGGCGCCTCTATTGCTACGATGACTCCACAATTGCTGCCTCAGAGTCGGAGTCGATGGGAAGATGCCAAGGCCACGCGGACAGGCTTCCTGTGAGAATATACCCTGATGAGGTAAGGTCCTAAGGACGTATACATAAGCAGGCAACGGGTGATACGACGTCAATCTCCACCGTCTTTCACTTTCCACCCACTCTACAGCTACAGCCATGCCCTCCAATTGTGTTATCGAAATCGACAACAAGTTGTACAAGGGTGCCATCAAGCTCAACACTGGGCTCTTCATCGACGGGAAATGGTGCGATCCAGTGGATGCCAAGGAGATGATCGAGTAAGAGCTTTCATCGTTTCCACTGGAGGACATGTCTGATTGTCTTCTCTACCTAGTGTGATCAACCCAAGTACGTGGCACACAAGGAGAATGCGTATCACTCACCACCTTATGCAGGCAACGGGAGCAAAATTGCTCAGGTCTCGCTCGGATCCAGCAAGGATGTGGATATCGCAGTCAAGGCCGCACAGAAGGCATGTCATACCATGTCTACCTCGTCTTTGCGCCCGCCAACTGCATACCCAGGCCTACAAAACCACATGGGGTCTCAAGTGCCCGGGTAGCGCGCGCGGCAGGCTCCTCAATCGGCTCGCCGACCTTCTGGAAAGGGACACCGATGAGTTCGCGGCTCTCGAAGCACTCAACGTCGGTAAGAGATGTACGAATTGGACAGGAACTTCTTGCTGAGCATCCGTCTAGGCAAACCCTTCAATATGGCCAAGATGCAGGATATGGGTGGAGCAATTCAATGTATCCGGTATTTCGCGGGCTGGGCGGACAAGATTCACGGGAATACCGTCGAAACCAATGAGTTGAAGCTCGCATACACGAGACACGAACCATACGGCGTCGTCGTGCGTCCAATTTCTGTCTTTCATATATTGCCATCGTAACCTGTGAGTCCGCATTCCAGGGCCAGATAATTCCATGTGCGTGTCCTGAAAATGCATGTGCGCGCGATTGCTAACCAGTGACGACTAGGGAACTTTCCCAGTTCGTAGTCAGGACTATGTTCACCCCCATTGATCCTGAACATCGTATGTTCCAGTGCTCATGTTATCTTGGAAAGTCGGCCCCGCACTGGCTACCGGGAATACTATCGTATTGAAGGTAACTCCTCCTGATCCCATCCATACTGAGATATTAATTGGTCGCCAGCCATCCGAGATGACACCGCTGTCTGCCTTGAAATTTGCAGACCTCGTCGTCGAGGCCGGCTTCCCGCCTGGCGTTGTCAACATTGTCAACGGATACGGCAAGCCACCCGTCGATCTGTGTATTTTAGTTTTTTTAACCTGCAGTTTCTCAGGGATGACTGTTGGTCAGGCCATCAGCGAACACATGGACATCGCCAAGGTCGCGTTCACGGGAAGCACCTTGGTCGGCCGGAAGGTCTTGGAGGCCTCGGCCCGAACCAACCTCAAGGTAGTCACACTCGAGCTAGGGGGCAAGAGCCCGACGATTATATTCGACGACTGCAACCTCGAACAGACCGTCAAGTGGGCCTCTGCGGCGATGTAGTGCGTATCCGCCTTCTCTGGCGTCAATCTTGGTCTAACATTAGCATTACAGTGGCAACATGGGTAACAGCCTTCGGGCGCCGCTCAGGTTCTATGCTCACTAATCTGCTCACTAATCCTTCGTAGGCCAGTCATGTGTTGCGGGATCTCGTATTTTCGTCCAAGAAGGGATCTACCCGCAGTTCATAGAGAAGTTCACGGCGGTGGTGAAGGGTCTCGCAAGCGCTACTGGCGACCCGTTTACTTCCACGACGCAGCACGGACCCCAGGTTCGCTCCCTCCATATGCGCTGTATAG